CGCGGCTCGAGCTCAGTGCCGCACTTACAGGCGCACAGTTGGCTAGAGTGATCGAGACAGAGCTTGCAGTACCATCTGAGCACATCACTCTTTGGTCAGACTCCACAACTGTGCTGCACTGGATCAAATCAGAATCCTGCCGTTACAAAGTGTTTGTGGGAACACGTATCGCGGAAATCCAGAACCTGACCAACCCTGTTCAATGGCGGTATGTTGACACTCTAAGTAATCCAGCTGATGATATAACCCGTGGACTCACTCTGCAAGAGATGGTACAGGATCATCGCTGGAAAAAAGGTCCACATTTTCTCCATTTGTCTGAAAGGGAGTGGCCCCACATGCCCTCATTTGAGCTAGAACCAGACACCACAGAGTTTAGGAAGTCTGCCTTTGTGGGAACTGTGTCCAGCATCTTGGCCACACAACTTCCGGACCCCAGTAAGTTCTCCAACTGGAAAGAGCTTCTTAAGGAAACTGCCAGCTCCTTTCACGGGGCGGCTGATGCTAATACTACAGTACACTTTTCCGCTGCCGATTTTCTGCAAGCAGAGAAGCTAATGTTACAAAAGGCTCAAGAGGACTGCTTTGCTGAAGAATTGAGAGCTCTCAAAGCTGGACGTACTCTTCCTTCAGACAGTCGTCTCGCATCTCTGTCACCAGAATATGAAGGAGCCACGGAGCTACTCAAAGTTGGTGGCAGGTTAAGGCATGCTGAAGGACAAGACCTGGATACCATCCACCCAGTTATCCTGGACCCAAGCCATCAGGTGACAAAGCTTATCATCAAGGATTTTGATGAGTCACTACTGCACCCTGGACCAGAGCGGGTTCTTGCCGAGATCAGACGCAGGTTTTGGATTATCCGTGGTAGAGAGGCCATTCGAAAGTATCAGCATTCATGTCTGGAGTGCCGACGATGGAGAGCAAAACCTGACGTACCGAAGATGGCAGATTATCCACCAGCTCGGTCACGACTCCATAAGCCACCGTTCTATTCAACCGGAGTTGATTGTTTCGGACCTTTCCAAGTGAGGATCGGGCGTCGCACCGAAAAAAGGTGGGGCATTGTCTACAAATGTATGACAACCCGCTCGGTGCATCTGGATCTATTAGAAAGCCTCGATACAGATGCTTTCCTGCTGTCACTGAGAAGATTCATCTCTCGACGTGGCAGACCGTTCGAACTCCTCATGGACAATGGTACCAACTTTGTCGGTGGAGAGAGAGAGTTGCGTGAAGCCGTTGCTGCCATGGCACCTCAGTGGAAAGAACAACTCGCTGAACAGCAGATATCCTTCCGATTCAATCCTCCAAGTGCGCCACACTTTGGTGGCACATGGGAGAGGGAAGTGAAGTCTATCAAGACTGCACTTCGCGTTGTCCTCAAAAATCAGACTGTTCCTGAACCTGTCCTGATGACAATTCTAGTGGAAGTCGAGGGCATAATGAATGCGAAACCCTTAGGCTACTTGGCATCAGATGCTTCTGATCCAGACCCGGTCACGCCTAACCTCCTCTTCATGGGCCGTCACGACTCGTCGCTTCCTCAAGCAGTTTACGACCCCAGTGACCTCGGGAGAAGACGTTGGAGGCACAGTCAAGTCATTGCCGATCGCTTCTGGTCATCCTTCATCAGCCACTACCTACCAGGGCTACAAGAGCGTAGTAAGTGGAGGAAAGACAGTAAGCCACTCTCCACAGGCGATGTTGTTTTAATCGTGGATCCCCAACTTCCTCGAGCGTCATGGCCCGTAGGACGGATTACCCAGACTCATCCAGGAGCAGATGGACGCGTACGGACTATCAGTGTTCAAGTGAAGGACCGTACCTACATTCGTCCAGTCGCCCGGATCATCCTGCTCCCAGCTCTGGAGGACAAGGACGAAGAAGAGACGACCAAATAGACTTTCTCCTACTCTTTCAACTGCCATGCGGACAGTTGGGGGCGGCTTTGTCTGAAAGCCTATTTGTTCAGCGCTGAGGTTTCCTAAGTGCGTTCGAACGCTCCATCACGTGAACTGCGCCTGGATAGAAAATCCAACGCGCGCGCCTCAGTTGTTCGCGCTCAGTGATGATGAGAGGAGACTCAGAGACCCCTTTCTTTACGTTTGTGTGCGTTTTATGAAAAACAAGTAAGTTCCTACTATTGTTGTATGTTTATACTGCGTTGTAAGGAATGTTGTGAAATTTATGTATGTTCATGCGAACTAGTTTTATTTGTTGAACTGCGTGACTAATTAGTGTAGTCATGATACCAGAGCGTGCTGTAATATTCGACATGTTTCCTGTGTGAAATAATTAGCCCTCTATATGTCAATTTAGACCTTATTTGTGTTAGTTATTTAGAAATATGCTTCTGCGTTCGAGTGCAGTGTATTTATACTGTTTATTTGGTGCTATCTGCATCGAGTGTTATAGTGATATAGTGTCATTCTGCATAGCCACTTAAAGGTGCATCAGTACAGATATTAAAGGCATATGGTGACATATTCTGTTACACTGGATTAATGTTAATGATTATTTTCTGTACTGTACCGTTGTGAATGATGACAATGAGCATAGTATAGTATTCCTTTATTTGTTTATTAATCGGTTATTATTACCATTGTATTATTTCTTTTTCTTTCTCTCTGTTTAGACCACATACACTCAATTATACGAACTTGTATATTGGCATCCTGATCTTGGAAATAAAGATGATAAAGGATTCTCTGGCCGGAATCTTTCTGTAGTGTTCCCATCCTAAAAAGAACCACTAGTCCATACTTTACAGCCGCTGTCAGCGGTACTTCCGCCTGTCCCGTGCCCAGCTTGATGACCTGTTGTCCCGCATCGGAGCGAGGATCACCCTCGCCCTCATCCACCTAATCTGTCATTTATTTTTGTTTTGATGATAAATGGAGCCAGCCTCCAAAAGTGATTAATCTGTCTTGTGATTTTTTTCTCTCTCACACACATCTGTCCAGACACGAATGTTAGTTGTCTTTACATTATAATAATATTTCATATAGGCCTAATCTAGATATGGAATAAATAGCATTCAATACAAAATGTCTCATAGGCCTATATTGAAATCAAGTTTTATGTGATAAAATATTTGCTTTGTTGTGCATTAGAACTACATTAGAACCACCGACAAATTACAAAATAATTTATTGAAGCATCCAGATACTTCACCACGTGACAGCAGCAAGCAGCTATAGGCTCCTGATTGGTTAACGCGGCGCGAATTGACGCAGAAGTTCAAATTTTTCAACTCGGGCGGCAGACGGGAATTCGCGTCAAACGCGTGAATGCACAAAATGCACCGAATTCGCGCGTAACGCGCCAGACGCTCAATTCGCGCCATTCGCGCGTCAGGCGTATTCGCGTCTACCGCGCCGCAGGAATTTTTTACGTGCGTAACGCGTCTTTGCATTGACTTAACATTGAAATCACTCGCGCCTGACGCGCTATTCGCGTCCGGTGTGAACGTAGCATAAGAGCTGCGCGCGCCCAACACCACATGTATACGGCGCCGGGTTATTTCTGTTTGATGCTCATTTTATCAGAATTTTATCAGATCTGTTTTTTTGCCGTAAAGCAATTCGTTACCTCGCGAGACCTGATATCACACGATACTTCCTAACACTGAGGCCTTTTCGGTTAAGGTAAAAAAGTTACTTAGTTCACCTTTAAATCAAAAGAACAATCTATAGGCAATTGGCTTTTTTATTATAGCAGATTCAAGGCAAACTATTTGTTTTAGAAGAGTATAATAAAACCAGCTGGATGCTTGAATCAGAACTATAACGTCTCTCATCCCTTGAGATGCTCTGATTGGCTGATATTATTTCCTTCAGGATCTCCACTGCGCAAAGGTTGCCTTTGCATGTCAATACGGTCTATTTACAGCAACACTATAGGGGCTATGCACATATTCACAAATAGCCTAGCTCTTTATACAATTTATTTAGATAGAGTGTACCGCAGATTCATACCAAAGCAGACAGTCTAAATCGTTAGTTGGATCCTTAATGGTAAAGTCAACTCGAAACAACCCAAAGTGTTCATGCTGGCACCTCAGAACCTCACAGACGTGTTATGCTTTTGTTGTGTCTTCATTGCAACATTCTGTCCTTTATTCACAAAACAGTCACAGACAAGTGTCTCAGCAGCTAATTCAAAACTCATTAGAAACAAGCAATTGCAGAGCGGACTCCCAAAGGGATGCAGCTTTCTAATCAACGTTCCCTATACTGCGCCTCATAACTAACGTTTCCACAGAGAAATTAAACCGAGGCGTCATTATGAAAGGAGATGCTCCTCTGATGATTTCATTACCACAGTACCATATGTTTGATGGTATATTATAGATATTGATAATGTTATGGAGCATTTTTTCTTTGATAAGTTGCGTCATTTCTTCTGATTTAAAAGAAACAAAAGGAATAATTAGCTGGACGCTCAGGCAAAATGAGTCAAATGCCATGTGGACCAGGTCTAGCTACTACTTAAAACAAACAAAAACAAAACAATAAGGAAAAGAGATTTTAGATATCAATGAGTTTAGATCAAGTAGACTCAGTCTTTGGCTCCTGAGGTAATCACCTCAGTACAGATGTCTCTTTCAAAAGAGATTTCAACCTCTCAAACTGTGCTCAGATTTGTCAAGATAATACAAACTCAAACATCTAACATCAAATTCTTCCTAAATCAAATTATTTGAGCTATTCTTCTAAACCACATGCTACAGCAAAAATACACTTCAAGTCTACTGTAGGCTATGCGTGTTCTCGGTGTTTACTTGCAATTCTTTTACGGGATTCTAGTGGAAACCAAAAAAGACAAAGTTAATATTGACGTGTGAAACATAACTGAGAGCTATAAACTAGCTACCTCTGAGCAATAAAACTGTCTTTTGGAGTGCCGGCATGTGTGTGTGTGTGTGTGTGTGTGTGTGTCTGTCCGTGTGTTGAGTGATTACGCATCTCTCTCGCGCGCGCGCGTCCCCGGTGGCGCAGAGCGTGTATGGAGTCATCCCGCTGCTGTAGGCGGGGGCGAGCCCCTTTGCCCGTGATATTAATGCGTTTTCCCGCTATGCCAGTCTATGAAACAGCACGCAAGTATTGGCTATTGCTTACCTCTTGTGTTGTCCTTCGTTTGCAAACAGTGGACAGGAACTTAACCCGTTTGTGTTGACAGCTGCTGAAGTCCTTTACAATGACTCGTCGAAAACAGTCGAAGCCCAGATCTTTGAAAGGTACGAAAGGTTTTTTTATTTAATCACTTGCTTCCTTCTTGTCTTGAGTGAAACACGACCGGGGGGACAAATCGAATGAATGACCCCAATTAGTTACAGATCATTAGCCTTCAGATTAATGTTGCGCAAATTCAAAAGAGAAAACTGGAATTGGTTTGGACCAGAACTTTCATTTAACTTTCATTGCATTCTCGAGGAATCTAATTTCATTGAGATTGGTTTGTCATCACTCTTGCACGTGATGCACATTATTCAGATAAAGGTGTATTATGATAATCAATAATATTATAGTTTTATTGGGTTTCTTGGACAACAAATTTATCTAAGCTCAGCTGTACTCAAAACTGAATGTGTGTTTGTCCTGGTAAACCCTACATTGTGCGGACATTTATTGTCTCCTTGAGGAAAACAGATTTTAAATCATACTGTTTTTTAAAATTGTAAAAATGCAGAACGTTTCCCGTGATGTGTAGGTTTAGGGGTAGGGTTAGTGTAAGGGGATGAAATATACAGTTTGTACAGTATAAAAATCATTATGTCTATGGAAAGTCCCAATAAAACATGAAAAAAACACAACAATAAATTGTAAGGATCCATAAATGTTTATGTGAGGATTAGATTTAAAAGGGAACATAAAACATTAGCTCAGTATAAAAACAATAAAGTCCCAAACATGACAGAAAACAAATGTGTGTGTACAGTATGAGTGGAAGTTTGAAAAGTTCCCTGAGGTTTCTATGTTAGCAAATGAAATCTATTCGTTTTCTATGTGTCTTGTCATAATGCCGTGTGGCTCTGTTATGTCACCTTGTAATCACAGAATACAAATGTTATATGGACTGTTTAAAGAGCAAACATGCACACAATGAAAAACAGAAAAACAGACTAAAAAAAGTTGATATTTGTTTAGTCTTTGCTTTTTTCATGCCACAGGGGTGCCATAGTGTACCAAATGGTCCACCAGAGATGAAAAAAAAAGTGTTTGATTTCTTTGTATTGTTATATTATATCTGGCTGCTATGGCCATGACCTTTTCTTGCTATCAATCTGTTCTACACAGGTCAAGCTGACAGGTTAAATACAAAGGAAGATAGCGTGGTTGTGGGGAAGAAACGTTGCTCCTGGGAAAGAAGAAAAGAGAGGGATGAGGAGAGGGAACAATGTGGGGAAGAGAAGGATGAAGTTGCTAAAGAACACAGGAGTGCAAGCCTAAAGCAATCTGAATCATTCACCCAACAGATGCACTGCCATGGTTCAGGTACACGCAAATACATTCCTGCACTATCCTTCTTTCTATAGTATCCTTTACGGTGAATATTTGATCCATCTCTCTCTGTATCCCTTACACAGGCAGATTAAAAAGAAGAGAGACCTCTGGGGTTTTATATTCAGGGTTTAGTGTCTCTGCATGTTTGTGTGACCTTTGAATTAGGTATATTTGCAATTCCCTATTTGCACAATAACAGAATGAATCATGCCTTCACAAATGATTTTGGATTTATGATATTGGAATTGCTAATCATGTGAAGACATGTTTTTAATATGTTTTATCCTTTTAAGCAGATACATTAATCCTTTGATTTGGTGTACAATTTGGTACCGTGATTTGGGTTCTGTTTTTTCTCTTGTACATGTTTAGTACTTTAAAGTAGCAGCACTCCATTTGCTCAAACTGTGAATCTGGTCCTCTCACACTGACAGCAATTTTAGTCACAGTGGGACTGCTCATTATGTGGCCACATACCGAGCTAATTACATCTAAAAAAGTGTGAAAAAGAGCATCCAATTCATATTTTTGGTGTTTAGTCTGCTGTTATGAGCACGAGTTCTATTTTAACCTGCCAGACTTCAGCAGGACAGACCTCTTGAAATAGAAGAGTAGAATTCTTATAGTTGTGGTTAAAGTGAGTAGTGTTGAGAAAGATACAAGTCCCAAAATAATTGAAAGTAGTTCAACTGCAGCTATTGTTTTAAAAAGTAGTTAGCTACACAACAATTGAACAAAACGTAGCAATATAATTCCCCTAAAAACAGTATTTGTCATACACAACAACAGTTAGGATAAGAATTAGGGTGACAGCAAAAAAACAGCAGTGTCACGTTTCAGTTTTCCTTGTTGGAGAAAGTATCTTGTTACTGTAAAAGCTACGCTACTTTGACAAAAGAGTTACTGTCACATTACTGAAAATGTACTTAATTTAGTGACATTGCTTAATTACTTTTAGTTAGTTACTCCCCAACACTAATGGTGTGTTTAGTGGTGTGTTTTTGGCAAAAACGTTTTTTTTTTATGAAAGTTGTAAATGCATTTTCCTCTCTTCTCTGTCCATAGCAAATCATAATGTTGAGGAAGATGAAATATGTCGTTTAGCTTCTCTTTCCTCGGCTCACTCCTCCGTTGACCATGAAGATGGATGTGACCTTGGATTCAAGGGAGACACATTTAGAGATCATCAGAGACTTAATCAGTGCAGGAGGGCAAACACCCCTTTGCCTGGCAACAGTTCAGTACCTCTCGAATTATTCCAAACGGATATCAGCAGTGAGAGCCCCACAAAAAGCAAACAGGGCTTGAGTAATCAATATGAACAGGGCAGTGCTACGTCCTCCCGACATCTCTCTCTTGTAAATAATCCACAGAATAACATGGGGGAATCTGAGAAAAGACAACCTCCAGATTTTGCTGCACAAGATCAGTCGTGTTTCTCAATGACAGAATGCACTTGTGCCACCAGTCCAGCAACTCCAAATGCTGTCGGAGTGTCTCCTTGTGCAGAAAAGAGAAAGTCTCAGTTTGTCTCCAAAAATTGTTTAGGAATCTCCAAAAAGCTCAAGGTTTTCAATGATTTCGTTCATTGTCACAACTACATGGACCATAGAGTATGTCCACAGACCCAAATCAAGGACAATGAAATCCACTCAAGTTCTGAGATCCTGACTTTTCCATCTGAACCAAAGGAGCAGAAAGAGGCTAATGTGATGCTAGATCACTCCGTGTTGCTTGAAGCTGCAATCACAGCGGCCGTTCAAACAGTTCTTCAGTGTAGCTTCTGTCCCACATCGTTAAAAGACCTGAAAGCCCTTCAAGAGCATGTTCGCCAATCACACAACTCAGCTTTAATCGAGAGCAACGTCTTTTTCTGCTCCCAGTGCCTCCGAGGATTCCTGACAAAGGACACGCTAGATAATCACGTGCGGCAGACACACTGTAAAAACCAGAGTCTGAAACTTGATCCAGATGCGGAAGAAACTTCAGAAAGAAAGTCTTTGAAATTCTGTCCATACTGCATCCATTTGCCTACATTTAGCAGTAAGATAAAACTGATGCAGCATATCAAAAAGACACACAAGAACATTAATTTGATGAACCTTAAAGAAGGAAGGAGGACAATGGGTTCAACGTCACCCCAATCAATCAAGAGTGTTGCCCAAAAAACTAGCTATGGTGCATTACCTTCAACCGACTTCATCTGTGACCACTGTGGGGCTAAATACACCAATCTGGATCTGTTTCAAACTCACTTGAGTTCCCACCTGAAGAGTATGCTTCCAAAACTTACATGTCCAGAGTGTTTAAAGGATTTCCCAAACCAGGAATCTTTTAAGGAACATGCAGTGTCTCATTTTAGCAATTCATCTACGCTCTACATCTGTGAGAGCTGCAGTAAGTCCTTTACCAGTGTCAAAGACTTACATGGGCACCTACTTGAGATGCACACCGTTGTGTTTTACCGATGTTCCCTCTGCCAGCAGGTGTTCGACACCAAGGTGTCTATTCAGGTTCACCTGGCCTCCGAGCACAGTAACAAGAAAACCACATTCCACTGTACGTCGTGCGAATGGGACTTCAAGCAAGAGCATGACTTGCACCTGCATGTCAAACAGAAACATCTTGACAAACAATGCAAGTTGTACTGTTGCATCTTCTGTGCAGAGTCCTTTACCACAGACATTGAGTTGCAGTGTCATATCACAACACATAGCGACAAATGCAGTCCCTGCGTCTGTACCAATACCAGATCTCCCCTCGAGGTGCCCTTACACGAGGAACTCTGTGCCAAGAGTGCTGAAGGTAACAACGTGACCCCTCCACCTGTCTCCGAACCAGTTGCCAAAGACAGCGCTGGAATGCTGCCAGTGAATAGTGAAATAAGAGTCGGTAAGGTGGAATCGCTGTTCAGCCCTCCCACTGAAAGCAAAGGGAAGGCAAATCTGAACGATCCTATGTTTGCCTGTGAAATCTGTGGTGCTTCTTACACCATGCAGTCCTTGCTCGCCAACCACCAGCTGCGAGATCACCACATCCAGCCCGGGGAGAGTGGCACTCTCAAGCGCAAAGTGGAGGCAATCCAAGGGAGCCACAAATGCAAAGACTGTTCCAAGACCTTCTTCACTGAGATGGCACTGTGGGAGCACGTCCAGACTCATCTAGGCCCCACCAAGCACTGCCAATGCCCCATCTGTGGAGAGCGCTTCCCTTCACTGCTAACTCTGACTGAACACAAGGTCACCCACAGCAGGAGCTTGGACACAGGCAACTGCCGCATCTGCAAGCTTCCTCTTCACAGTGAGGAGGACTTCCTGGAACACTGTCAGAGGCACCCCGACCTGCACAACTCACTGACAGGCTTCCGCTGTGTTGTGTGCATGCAGACGGTCACCTCCACTCTCGAGCTGAAAATTCATGGAACTTTCCACATGCAAAAGGTCCAGGGTGATGATCTGATCAACAGCTGCGTGGATCCCTCCATCCTTAATCCTGACCTTAAAATCTCCTCAAGTGCTGCTCAGCAGGAAACGGTCACTATGAATGTCAGTACATTTGAGCATAGACTCCGAGACAATAAGACTAGCATTTCCGTAGTCAATTGTTGTTCGGCTACAGCACTCATACCAGAGGAGAGAAGCAATAAGAACACTCTCACACAGACCACAACAGTTTGAGGTAACTTTTAAATAAAGGACAATATACAGGGCCGGCACCCAGAGTGGGGGTTACGAGTTACTGTGCGCCACTCCCTCCCTCCCCTTCCCTTCCCGCTGAATGCGAGCAAGCGAAAGTACATTCGAAATTACAAATGCACCCGGGCTGGTTGCTTTCCTCTACGAAAAATGCTACGTTTTTAGTGCCCTGGCGCCAGCTCTGACAATATCTGTACTCTTCTGATTGCTTGTGTACTGGAGTATGTTTTCACTTGTACATTGTATTATGTATTTAGGCCCTAACTGTGTGAAGACATGTTTTGGAGAGGCTGTTTTCTCCCTCAAAAGCAGTTTCCTTGTTTGAGATGCTTAGCAAATGACTAATTCTCCCAAGTGCAAGGCTTATCTTCATTGGACACTTCTGAGGCTCTGAACTCAGATTAACTGCTATATTTGGAGCATTTCCTCTCTCTTTGTTGCATTTTACGATAAATCCTTGTGTTAAGAAATGGAAGTGGATCTTTGTGGATCTAGACAGTAATGAGTTGCTGATGAGTGAAACTGCAGATGCGCAGAGGGGCACAAAAGAGGATGAGATGTGGGCAGTGGGACTTGATGTTCTGAGGGAGAGAGTCATTAGCAGTGTTTAATCTAATTGAAATCTGAGCTGGCCTCTTGGTAAACTTTATGGATTAGATGTAGGGCTTTTGGACAATGACATCTGATAATCACAAAACAGTTGTAATGTTATGTATTTTTATTTTGCATTATGTCTTTTTTAGTAAAATACCATCATCTCTACCTTTTTTTTAACTTTGACTCACATTTCAATTATGTGTCTTGTTAGTTGTATTTCTGTACATGATGTTCTATTGCAACAAAAAAAAAAGTAAATTGTGTTTATGGGTAAATGTGTGTATGTGGTGTGTTTACATTTTCAGTTCTCCATTGTTGATAAAAAAGTTTTTAAAAAACAACAACAAAAAACTATCATCTTTCTGAACCAATGTAGTTCAACAATCCTTGTATATTTTCTTAGTCTTCGGTTGAACATCTAAAAAAATCATAAATTAGAAATAAGAATAATATTGATTATGACATTAATAAACTGAAATAAGTTGTTCTGATTGAATTTTTTTTTTAGCTCCTTAATCTACTTTTTTTTTTAGTTTGGCAATGTTTCACTTAATTCTGAACCTTGATATCATACTTGACAATAATACATCTGGGTAGAGAATAATGACTTACTTCTGGGCTTTACTGGGGGTGAAACTGAATGGCAGGATTTTACTTCATTCATACTAAATACATACTGTTTGTCCATGTGTGTATCTATTTATAAGCAGTGAAACTTTCCATTTAATTAACAAATTATTTTATCTTTAAAAAGTCAACTAAATATGTGCAGTGCTGCACAGAGTTATGTTTGTGCATGTTTTTGAGAATGGAAATTGGGTATTAGTGCCCTGAAGCCGGAAGCCACCAGGACAAACTGCTACCTCATTTGGAAATACCCCTCAATCACCATGACAGCAGCTGGGCTTTGACCATAGACACAGGAAGGAAAAGCGACAAAACTTTGGGCACGGCTGTGCTGTAAAAATGTATTTGTCATAAATATTACAATATTATAATTACACCCAGTCATAAATTTAACTATGAGTGCAGGGTGTTTAAAAAAACTGTAAATACTATAAAAAGTCTGTTTTAGAAATTGACAGGGTTAATGACCTGTCTTCTCCAGTCTGATTTTTTATAATCATAATACAAATGCTGTTATGTTATTATTTGATATTATGTATTATTTATTTTCATGCTATAGAGACAGATGATCATACCAGAAAATAAATACGAGTTGGAATTAAAACATGAACTTGGTTTTCCTTTTGTGTGTCCAGGCTATATGCCAAGATAAAGTCGGCTGTGAAAACATGATGCCGGGTAATGCCCGGACCATCTGTCAATAAGCGTCTCTCGAGTGGGTCGAGTGAGAGGAGAAATGACAAAAAAGACAGTGCTGTAAAGAGTTTTTAAGGGTTATGGAGTGTTACTGGCAAAGAGACGGCAAATGTTGAGTTTGATTGTATTTAACATTTGTAATTCTATAAAACAGAATTGGAAAAAAATTCAATAAAACCTAGATTCTCAGTTTAAAGGTGTATTAAGTACAACACAGTGACAGTGAAGTGACAGTATAGTGCAAATAGCCTACACGGTAGTTCTTTTCCTACAGGGATAAGAGTGAATATAGGCCTAAATCGAGGCATGGTAAATCTAGAACTGAACTGCCATCTCAAAAATTAGAGCTGACTAAGACCCTTTATGCTCAGTCAGGCCTTGCCGTCCAGGTGCACTCCCAAGAAATGTAAGGTCTGTGTCATGTCAACATCCTCCCGGGATGGAAACTGGGGTGAAAGGTTCCTCTTCCTACTGATGTCCAACATCATCACATTTTTTTCACATCGCGTCACTAATCATTCCTCTGTGCTCTCCCTTCTCTTCACGTCTCACATATCCAACAATCCCATATCCCGCCTCATCTGAGAGTTCTTCTGCAAGCGACACCAATGACAGTTTGATCCAACAGTCAGTTTTCATTTTCTGTTGGTAAATGTAATTCTACTTGTCAGGCTAAATTCTGTTTTTCAAAAGACATTGGGATAGTTCACACCAAAATGAACATTTTGTTATTACTTACCCTCAAGTTGTTCCAAACCTGTATGAGTTTCTTTCTTCTACTGAACACAAAAGAAGATATTTTGAAGAATGTTGGTAACTTAACAGTCGACAGAAGCCATTGACGACTACTATGGAAGTCACTGGTGCCGTCAACTGTCTGGTTACCAATACCAACATTCTTCAAAATCACATATTTTGCGTAGAGATTATGAAATGGTATGGTTTTAGTTATCATTTTTATAATTTAATTGATTTATTTAAAATTGGCAGAAAATGCCTTCCATATTTAAATGCATGACTGCAAGGTGACAATATGAGAGCACTCCCCCCTAATGGCTGATGACAATACAGCACCGGCGGTCACACAAATATATTTTTTTTAACTGGAGATTCATTTTTTCCTCTTAAACTATTAAGATCTTAAACTATGTTGTCAGATACTGTAACAGTAGTGATGGCCATTCGTTATAAATATAATATTAATGCACAAACTGTAGGCTATGTACAGCCTATTTGATTATAAGGTTTAACTATAATTTCACAATACATTATAATATATTTTCATTTGATTTGCAATTAGGTCATATGAAACGTTAGAGCATTATCAAAGAACATCTGCAGGTTTAGTGGAAAGAGAAGGAACGCATTCAAATCAAATGAAAAAGCAAGGCTATACTTTCGCATGTTCACATCATGACCAGCAGGTGGAGGTGCGAGATTATGTGTAAATACCGAATGTGTGTCTTTTAGTACATATTATTTTACATACTACGTCTCGACGTTGTGAAGCTCCTTAATTAAATAGGTCAGTGGTGACAGCAGTTCAACAGTTTTCCTCCATCCATCCATCTCCCCCATGAGCCTCATGTGGACTTGTTGTTAGCACCTGAGATTGACATTTAAGAGGTCCCTGCAGTCAGCTGTTTCCCGTTATGTCCCATATCACTCCCATAACATAGATTTAATTGTTTCAGGATGTTCGTGCCAAAATACACTTAAAGGAATAGCAGACGATTACGCCGTCGCTGACAGTAATTTTGAATAGTAAAAGTTGTAGTGAATAGTATGTATTTACAATAACTGTTCGGTAAAATAGCAATTGATTCGAAAGTTAAACCCTAAAGTAATAAAATATAACACATTATTTGCACGCATAGCCTATAGGCTATATAGCTATTAGGCCTACATAATTACAGTTTGGAGGGCATCAAGGCTTATAAGGGACGATTTTAATTTAATTTAAATGAAAAGTTCACAACACTAAGATTATATGGATTTGAAAGGCGATCCCATGGATGAGAGTGACGAATTCCCTCAGAAAGGTAGGTAGGTCTAATGGTGCGTTCACGTGCTATGGAAAATATGATATTTTCCACTTGTGAACTGGTATTTACCAGTGTGTTGCGTTCAAGTGCTTTTGTTGTCGTAATGTGGTAAAAAGATGGAGATCCAGACCTGTTATTTAGCTAAAACTATTTTAGATTGCTTAAGTCATCTGCTACAGCAAGAAAATGATTTCTCAAAACTCAAACGTAAATAATATATGCTGTATATTTTCTAGATCATGAATAGTACAAATTTTTACCATTCACAACTCTTGCGTTGCTCTCCGCCATTTTGAAAAGGTCAAAGGTAATCTCATCTCGGCAACTCGTGCATCAAATATTCTACGAGTTGCCCAGTGGAAAATACCACATGAGGGGGTGTTCATGTGCATTTTCCATGTCGGCTTTTGGTATTTACCATAGCACGTGAACGCACCATAAGGCTTGAGGATGTTTTCTTTAGAGCCCTCCTTTGTTAATGCATTAATAATTCACACATTTCATGAAACATATCAAGAGGGGTACTCAAAGAAAGAAAGAGAGAGAATTAGAGCCAACGGAACAAAAGGAAATGGCTTTAAAGAAAAACACTCAAGCTCTGGGGATCTGTCGTCATAGATTTGAAAAGAACTACAGAAGGCCTAAATTAGTGCAACATCTCTGTTTTAGGCCAAACTATGGTATTGCAAATAATACACTGCTATATTTAGGTTACTAACTATGGTCTACAGTCTAAGATAAACACTAGGCTACACGTTTTTCTGAATTTCCGTGATCAACCATATTTCACAGAAACGACTTTTGTTTCACACATTTGACTTGAAAAGTCTTGTAATGAGTAATGAGTTACGTGTGTAGCGGGGCTCGCTCTCTTCGAGGAGCAAAGATAGAAACACTACCTCTAGCTTAAACATGACTACGCCACCCTGTTTACAGGGGAATATTAATATTGTGGATTTAAGATTTTTCACAGGACACACAGGAACGTGATTTGTCAAGAAGGGCTAGAGACGTGGATACCAATAATACA